GACTTGAGTCACCTGAGACATGTTGTCAACAGGAACTGTCCGCTTACATCGACATGASTATGTCTTTGGGCTAGAACTAAAATGGAGAATCGAGCAGGTAAGGAGGTGAGTGGGTAACAAAAAAGGCAAGGCAGAAGTCTATGAAGTTCAGTAAATACTGTATTTCTTCTCATTCATTTTCTTCCAGTAAGTTATGTTAGTTGTGYTCTGTTTTTCAGACTGCTACTTCTAAGGCCACAATTTAAGTCACRTTCAGTGGTGCTAATGAATTCGGTCTAACTTTGTAACATTTTCTGGAGTAAGGTCCTGCAACCGAGTTTTTCTGAGTTGTTGAAATAATGTAATAAAGGAAAAAAAAATGCTTCCAGGAACAAAAATCAAAATGTGCAGCTCTAATTATGTACCTGAGTAATTGAAATAATACAAAAAAGGGGAGAAATAAATTTGTTTCCAGGAACAAAACATCACAATTTACACCGTTGTAATTATGTATCTCTGTAGTTGTGGCACACCTCAARTTACCTTAGCCCTAGGGTGCTGTGCTACTTCTAGCTTAATTCTGATCAAAACAAAAACACTAGGAAGCATTTCTAACCTTCCCCACCTGAACTGGACATCCAGTTTGCAGCCCCACAGAATGGGGATAACCCCACTTTTCTTAAGGGTTTATTTCAGTCAGATCAGAGCTGACCAGACTCATCACACAGCCCCACGATAATTGGCACTGGCACAAACGGCGGGTGGGAAGAGGCACCCGAGGCTGATGCCCCCAGCAGCCTCCCATCAGTGTGAGCAGACTGAAACCAACCGATTAAACACCACAGCACAGGCTGTTCAGCACAGTGAAGAATTGAAAATGTAAAAATGTGAAAATACTAGCAGTTGGTGACCTGCAATGTCACGCAGCCTCACCAGGTATTTTCTGAGTACACAGTACCAGACCTACTGGGCATCCGCATTTTTTTCTGCTCTGTGGAATTTTGGCACAAAAAATTCATCCCAGGTGAATTCCTAAAGTATTTTTTATTTCTAGTTATTTTGCCACCCTCACCTGATTTAGATCAAACCAGTACAGTTATTACAACCAGGGAAAAAAATGGAAGAATGTAGATGCTCCTGTAGAAGAAAATCTGTCAGAACTCTTGGCCACAGGAATGCTTCCCTCCTCAGTCCCTTCTTTAAAAAAACCCACAGGATTTCATGCTATGGAAGAAAGCATTCCAATTACAGATCTATTTGTAATASGAGAAGACTGATAAATAATATATAGAACAATGCAAGCTTGCATATTGTCTGCAAATGCTCTAATGCATTTCATAGTTAATTGGTAATAAACCAAGACATACTAACCTTCCCAGTACCTTAAAATCGCACTTTTGTACCTAACCATGCCTTTACTAAACCTTTTTAAATTAAAAAGGAAAAAAAAAAAGTGATATTTCTGCTGCACAGGATTCTTTTGTGCAAGCACAGTTGCCATCACGCTGGCATTTTTCAATAGCAAATTTTTCACATTAGGCACAGTCATGGAGATAAGAGTATATTTTAGTCTTGCTTTTCCTCAAATTACTCAAATTTTTAATTCAGATTGGCCTGTAGAACCAACACATTCGAAACAGTTACCCTTTTTTCCCCCCAAAAAAACACAGCTGTGCAGTGAACACAGAGGTTTTAATTAAACTCTTTAATCCAAGACTTTTCTATTTCATGCTGTTAAAAAAAGTAATCTTCCAACCCCCATACCACCTGTATTTCCTTGTTTCTATCTATAGTTTGCTATCATCTTCCCACTCTTTGAATTTTTTTTTAATGAATACTTGTCCTAATCCTCACAATCTTGCTCTTTCTGCTCCTATTCCTTTGTCACTGGTTGTCCTCCATCCTGCCATGCACACATTCCTCTGTGACTCCTCTCATCTTTTGTTTTCCACCTTCTATCTTCCTTTCCCACTGTGTTTCCACACTCTTTTCTCCTCCATCTTCTCTCCCTTCCTTCTTATCACTAGTAAAACAGGTTTACTCATTCTTCTGTCACCTAAAGTCCTTCTGTGTTGACCCCGTCTCCTAGATTTGCACGAAGGAGGTCTCTGCTGTCTCTGTTGCTTTCTCTCTCACATGGAGGACATATTTCTGAAAAAGATAGAAACTATCTGATCCTCTCCTGCACTTCTGTCCCCTACGCAGCTGGAAGCCACTGCTGCAYAAGACATGGCCAGAGAGGAGCTGCTTTGTCTCTGCAGTGAGAGCCAGYTCATCACAGGCCAAAAGCCAGCTTCCAACTGTCCCAGTGTGAAGTTCCTATGATCACAGCTCATCTGGGATGCCTTTCCTCTCAAAACCAGGTGACTCKGAGCCAAATTCTTTAATCTCAGAGGCAGTAAAGGTTTGGTAGCTCTGAGTAGCTTTTGGAGAAAGTCACTGTGACAGTATTTCCACTTCAGCATGCCTTGATAAGAAGCCTTAGGAAAAAATAATCAAGTACTGGCAATTACACCTTTTTTATTCAACAGGACCTGCCAACCTCTGAATGTGGTTAACTGCAAGCACAGACAATGATAATTTACGCTCACTGTCATTCTGGAGGCTAACTTCATTTTCAAAACTGCAAGTATAGGCATGGATAAGCTATGATCAGCACGCTTCAACCAGATTCAACACCAGCCAAGCCTTTGTCAGCAGTGGTAACCTTCCAAGCAGAGAAAAGGCATTAATGGGGTCCACAACCATGGCCCAAAGGCTAGCTGAATACCTTGGCACCTTGTAAGCCTCTTCAAAGAGTTCTCTGAATATTAACTAATTAGATTTCTCTTATGTGAAAGRGAATGAATCAAGGCTTAATTTACCTGCCAACACAACACACCCAGATTTGGGGTAGAAGAACAGTGAGCTGAAGTATCAAAATTATTGCATTTTGTATTAAAAAAGAGACCTGGAGTTCACAGCTGTAAGGGTAATTCAGACAAACTACATGCCAGATTTAAATTTAGTTTTCAAGCAAGGCAAAACAGAATACAGTTTGGTAAATTTCTAGACAGCTGATGGTCAAAACATCAGAGAGCTTCCTGAGGAATATGGTATTGTACCAGAGAGCTTGGCTCACTGGACCTGGAGAGTACTTAGATTAATCACACCCTGTCAATATCACTACCKACAGGTATTTCTGTGGACACCAGCACAGAATGTACAGCAACTGAAAAATATGCCTTATTCTAAACCAAAGGCAATTCATCTGCAAGCAAGACAATCCATGTATGTCAAATTATGAAGATAACAGAAGTGTTAGACCAATATTTTGAAGTGAGAACGAGGTGCCTTAAGTGGAAGACATGTAAAAATCCAACTTCAAGCGCTAGAACACACAGCTTGTGAATAATTATGTTTCCTTGAGCACATATTAAGTCTTTCCACTGTTAAGTTATCCACAGCAGAGTTTGAATTAATTGGGGAATCTGATCTGAACACTTTCTAAAATTATTTACTATAGGGCCTTCATACATTCACATGGAGCTTGAAAACCCCAGTCAGGTTTGTTATAGACTAAAACTATTATCCAAATAAACTCTGCATAGTATTTTGTAGAGTATGTTTCAACTTCAAGTCTCCCCATGGCATAGGAAGGGCTGCATAATATTTTAATTATTTTCTTCCACAAGACAGGAAGCTCATTGAGATTTTACAACCAAATATGCTTAGTTGGCTTTTTGCTTAATACAGCCCTTAGCCTGCAGGTTGCATGTAGTGCTAAAACAAATAAAGATCAGAGAAGTTAGAAGTGCCTATTATGTCAATAAAATCTAAATCCCTAGTAATGCAGTAATTGTTCCATGCAGCATGTTTTCTAACGCTTTGTCTGGTCTTGTTTTAAACAATGGGGCTACCATCACTTTTCTCGGACTATTTTTGGTCTGGAACAATCCAACAGTTTTTCCTGATCTTTAACCAAAGTTTTCACCTTTTATGCCAGTCCAAAACATAAGAAGACCTGGCAGGAAAAAAAAAAAAAGAAAAAGCCTCCTACGTCAAGCTTAGCACTTATCTTGTAAAGAATATCAGATAGGCTTTACAAAAGCTGAATACAAAATTCACTGATCAACTCATTTTAGACTACAGTAAGTGACAACTCCCTTCTGTTTATCATTTGGGGATGTGTCACAGCCTATGCAGAAAMATGGTTAGACAGGATACACCAGGATCAAGTAAGTTTTAACTCAAGAGAAATACAGTTTCTATCTGCAGAAAGGGAGTCTCCTACCAAGCTTCGTTTGTTGCTATACGCTCATGTGGTAGGACATTATTTTTCCTTTCTTCCTTTAACATACCTTTGTGACTGACTGACTTAATCTTGTAAATAAAGTGTCAATTCCTAAATCCTGGCTTTGTCAAGGTAAAGAAAAAAACAATAATAAAAAAAGAAGAGCGGGGTACGGTGTGAAGGTAACAGGCTCCCTTGCGCGAAGGGTAATTCCAATAAAGAAACCCTTTTAATGTCATCTGAACAGGTGACTAGCCTAAGAGCGTCATTACCACCGAGAACCCTGCAAATTAAGCAGGGAAGAGGCCTATTATCTAGGTCACCTAGCCCACCCYTAGCAAAGCTGAATTATTCCCATCTGTTTACCAGAGGTTTATTCCGGTGCTCTAACAGTAAGTTTGCATATCAGCAGAAGGCAGAAACCCCCCAGAGCTCCCCTCCCCACCGCGGATCCCCGTTACCGACATAACCAACCTGCTCCTCGAACCCTGCGACATTCGAATAGCAGAGGGGAAATTAAAGAGGGGACACTGGGTTTGGAGGGGAGGGATGCCCGCAAACGCCGCGGAGCARGCGAACCGTGATGTGGAGGGGTTAAAAAAATAATCAATTCAGAATAAATCGGCAATTTGGGCAACGTACAGGCGGCGGGCGGCTGCTGACAGCGCCCAGCGGGGCGATGCCCCCGCGGCGGGGCCGGGCGCGGTACGGTGCGGTGCGGCGAGTCCCCCGCGGCCGCGGTACTCACGTTCTCGGTGTCGCGCTCGTTCACCGTGGGCAATGGAGTCCGAGTGGACATTTTCCCTCACTCGGGCGGCCGCGGCAGCGGCGCGCACAGACACACACACGGGCCCCGGGCTGCGCGTCTGCTCCGAGATGGTGGTCGCAGGGAGCCACCATGAAGGACGAGGTGCCTGGCGGGGGGCGGCGTCGCGTCGGTGCCCCCCCACTAGATCCTCCTCGGGGAGCGGAGCGGCCTCGCCCCCTGCGAGTCCTTCGGGCTCATCCTACAGCTGGGGTCCGCAGGGGTCAGCAGCGGGGAGGGGGCCGCCTCATCCAGCGGGGAGGGGATGGAGCCGAGGGAAGGGATGGAGCCGAGGGAAGGGAGGCGGCGAGGGAGCGGCTCCGGGGGGGAGGGGGTGAGTGCAGGGCGGGAGGGAGGAGGCGGCAGCGGGGCGTCGCGCAGCCCGGCTTCTCTCCGCTGTCGCCGGGGCACGGCTAGCGCAGGCCCGCCGCCCGGGGGGCTGCCCTCTCCTTCCCCCGCCGCGGCCCCGCTTCACCGCGCCGCCGCTCGCATCGCGGCCCGCCCTAGGCTCCGAGAAGGCCGGTGCCCCGCGGGCTGCGGACGCTCGGTGGGTGCCCGCCCGCCGCTGCCTCCCTGCCTGCCCCCCGCCCGCCCCGCCGCCGCTCCCGGACGAGCCAAGATGGCCGCGCTGCTCCTCCGCGCCAGCCCAGCGCCGACATGAACCGGAAGGTCCCGCCCCCTGCCCGGCGTGTGCGGGGGCCGCGGGGCCGGGACCTGCCCTGCCTC